ACAAAAATGAACTACTAAGTGCCAGACTGCTAATTAAATTAAATAAACCGTTCTTTGGTCTGCTTCAGCATTTTCACAGTAATCTGTGTCACACGAAAGCGGTTTGAGCTGTTTCATCTGCAATGAGTGCATTCATATCAGAGTTTGGACGAGATGTACGCAGACTTGAAGTACTAACTTGGTAACACAAGCAGCCTTTAAGACATCGTTTAACACTGCCTGGATCTGATAACATGTACTATAAATTAAAATACTTCTGATATGAAATGAAAGTATGACTGATTTCTGAGCAGCTCCTGACCAGAGGTATCAGACTCCTGAGCTGTAAAGCCCCTCCTGCAGATGAGCAGCCATGTAATGGGTGAACAGCAGACAAAATTCTGTATGCTAGTGTAGCTCTGTAAGTACTGTGTTGTGCTGCAATCAGCATGAATTTCCAGTTTGGTTTTTAAAATATCTTTTGGGACTCTTTGACAGGTCATGGCAGTCAGGTGAAGTGCCTGGTGACTGGAAGAAGGGAAACGTTGTGCCCATTTTTAAAACAAGGTAGGAAGGAGGACCCTGGGAACTACCGACCTGTCAGCCTCACCTCTGTGCCTGGGAAGATCATGGAACAGATCCTCCTAGAAGCTCTGCTAAGGCACATGGAGGACAGGGAGGTGATTTGAGACAGCCAGCATGGCTTCACCAAGGGCAAGTCCTGCCTGACCAACATAGTGGCTTTCTGTGATGGTGTGACTAGATTGGTGGACAAGGGAAGAGCTATGGATTTGATCTACCTGAACTTCTGTAAGGCCTTCGACACAGTCCCTCACAACCTCCTTCTCTCTAAATTGGGGAGATACGGATTCGATGGGTGGACTGTTGAGTGGAGGAGGAATTGGTTGGAAGGTCGCAGCCAGAAGGTTGTGGTCAACGGCTCGATGTCCAAATGTATGCTAGTGACAAGTGGTGTCCCTCAGAGGTCCACATTGGGACTGGTGCTGTTTAATATCTTCATCAATGACATAGACAGTAAGATCGCACACACCCTCAGCAAGTTTGCAGATGACACCAAGCTGAGTAGTGCAGTTGACACACCAAAAGGACGGGATGCCATCCAGAGGGACCTGGACAAGCT